GTTTCGCAGACTAATATTATCAAGGTACTTTTGTTATTTGACGGATATTTCACGATTTTATATAATGTGTAATTACTTTGTTTTTCCCTCGGTCTTTCCATAACTGATGAATCTGTATGAGGTGTTACATGAAAACTTGCCAAGCGGAAAATTTTCCCTCGTCTATTATCTTTTGAGCACAATAGTTGAAAGATTGGACCACTGATATGATTTTTAGTCATAACTAATGTTTCCGGCGGCGAGTAAACCTTCCCCGAGTTTTTCTATTCCATTTTAACGGGATGTTCCACGAAATATTAATTACCATTTGCCCCCGAACTATAATAGTTGTGGGCTGTGGCCTTATATTGTTTTAAAGATTACCCTTGAGGTCTGACGTGAATAATGTAGAATTTTTGAAGTTACAGTCATTTTCGTTATTACCCATGTTTAATTAAATTAGGCGATATAGCAATAATTTTGGCATGCAATATTACAGGGTGATTATGATTAAGATGAATTTCCACAATGGCCTAATCGTTTAACTATTTTAAGCTCGTTTCAGGTAAATTTCAGGTGTGCTGGAATCATGAAATTGAAAATATTTAACGTCAATATATTAAGAACAATAGAAAGTCGTTTAATATTTAAAAATGGCGCCCTGCCATCAGTCTAAACCCATTCTAGCTTTTCCCTAGAAAAATTCCTGTCTTTTCCAGGTTTTTTTGACACTGGAATGCGCTGGAGAATGAATCTAAAATCTCAAATGTCTTGTATGTAAACAAATTGTGCATCAGCACATATGCATGATTACAGCGCATTTTTGGTAATATATACAGATCAGTATTTTATTAGCAAATTTTAAAACTATCGATCTCACAAGTAATCTAACTCGAAATAGACTAGAACCTGCGCATCTACACTAGAGCAGAAATTTTTTTTAGTGAAAATTTGAAGCTATTGGAATTGCTGAGATCTCATCCGGAAAAAGCACTACGTTTAATAAAATCAGTTCAAGGAGTAAGGACTCCAAGTCCTTTTTTTTGTAAAACTGCAGATCTTAACAGTGCCAACAATGTACATTTTGAGGTAATATTCGTCAATAAACCAGTTTAATTAGTAAAGATAATAAAAGACCAGTTTCACAATTACAAGACTAGTCAGCTATACGTTCCACAAGGTTAAGGTTAAACAATTCAATAAAAAACTAATGTAACATCAAACTATACAGGTACATCCCATTATCCGACACAATTACAACAAAGAATTATCATGTATCATTAGGAAATAGGTACTTCCTAAGTAAAGCATTGTGTTTCATAAAAGACTATACTTGTCAGCAATCACTATACACCTTTTTTGTTTATTATTGTATTGATTAATTAAAATCATGACAACCGATGCAAATTTAAGGGAAAAAATGCTTTTTCGTACTTCCGAGATTAAAGTGACAACTTCACTCCGTTATGACAAGTAGTGAAGTGTCACTTTTTGTCCCGCCGGGATTAAATTTGGACGAAAATCCCGGAAGGATGAAATTACTAACAAGGCAATTTCAGTAGGTTGTTTCACATTTTGTATGCGGCACTACTTCTTAAACGCATCGTACTGCTGCTCATATAGTTTTTTGGATTTCGGTGGTATCAATTCATTACCTAGTTTGGCTGCTTTTTATCAATATCAAATACACCTTTGTCACCCACCACCAAAATTATGACACTAGCAATGACAGTTCCTATGGTAACTTGTTGAGCCGCGATTTTTTTAAAGAACCCATTCTCTAACTCCATATTTAATTAAGTGTTTCAGTTTCGGAAGTACGAAAAATATCGTATATACCTTGCGACTGAAGTAGTGGTCTTAATCCCTCAGGTAAATTATGTATAAACTTTACCTTCGGGATTAAAAGTACTACTTCAGTCCCGCGGTATATAATATACTATTAATAAATTCGGAAATGCAAATGTTAATTGTTGAAAAGAATAGGAAGAGATTTTTGTAAAACAAAAGAATAATTTTGCAGCAGTGGGTGGCTTAAAGACATTTGACTTGACAAAAAGTAACGATTCAGAAAAGTAATGATTTAAATAAAAATGAAATGTGGTGTAATAAAAAGTAAACGCACAACAAAATTAATAGTAGACAATTTTTTTGAATAAGGCTGTGTTTCGGTTTTCATTTTTGAATGGCGGACGAATCAGCTGTCCTATTCAGGGTGTCATTCAAAGTTGGTAAGGTTGGGAATTTTCGTACTTAATAATAACGCGAAAAAAAGTTTAAAATATCTTCAATAATTTCGAGAATATCGCAACAAAATGGAGATTTCTAATTTGCGTTTTTAATTTTTTCATGATAAACTAAACATTTTTAACAAAAACATTATTCAAGACACTTTTTATGGAGAATTCGTTTATGCCATAGGGTTTTCTAGATCACGGTGGAACACGTGTCAACTTTATCTTTTCCTATAGATACCATTTTGAATTTTGACGTTTTAAGATTACGTCTTTTTAGCGCACTTTCCAACTCATGTTGGAAGACAAATCAGCTGCCCTATTCAAGGTGTCCATTTTTCGAGTGTTACTATGAGGATCTCGCTTATCTGACTTTGTCTGTCCGTCCGTCATAGGTCTTATTTACTCCTACAATTTTCAAGATATTTAATTCGTCTTTAGGAATCAGAATTTAAAGTATTTTCGTAAATGTAAGGGTCAATTATTGTATCGCCCAATAAACCTACTCACTCGTTAAAGCTAAAACGTATGATTGTGTTGTCGCCGTTCTTGAAATTGATGACAATAATTGACCAGTAATTTTCATTGTGACGATTAAACATTGCTGCATTTACACTCTTCAGACTGACGCTATAAACTATAAAGGAAATTTGCGTTTTCCCTGAATCTGATTATTTACACACCTACAACATGCTACATGATCTTCTCAATGGAGCGTTTGAGAAAAATGAATTGCTCAAGGTCAATATTTGTGTTTTTTAAGAGTTTTCCAAACAACTTGACTGCTCATATTCATTGACCCTACCTCCATAAGTGTTATCGTCTACATCTTTTAAAGGAACCATATTCACCCAAGTTCTTATGCAGCAAACTAAAAGACCACAAACTAGGTTCTGCCGCTCTGAGTAACGTCATGTGGGATTTACTTGAAAAATGCAGTTCCGCAACAAAACTAGCACAGACAGACTTGCACACTACTTGCAAAGGATTCAACTGTCACACTTTTGTTTACAACAAAAGACCGTTTTATTTTTCCAAAGCACCCTTCGCAAAAGATTAAAAATTGGTTTTTTAGAAAGAATGTGATACTGAACCACCATTGCCCGTTTGCACCGACAAATTTAAGTGGAGCTTAGCTTAAGCGTCCCTTAAAATCTATGGCAACGATTATTGACACAATGGTTGCCATGGATTTTAAGGGACGCTTAAGCTAAGCTCCGCTTAAATTTATCGGTGCAAACGGGCACATGTGTTGTAAAGATGGAAAAAAAACGTGATTTCAAAATTCAAGATGGCGTCCATAAGAAAAAATAAAGTTGCCACGTGTTTCTCCGACATCTTGAAAGTTATTAAAACGAGATGCTATATCGGATTCTCTATAAACAAGGGAAATTTTTTGCGATATTTTTAAAATAATTGAAGATATTTTTAATTTATTTTCAGATTAGGTATTATTCAGCGCGAAAATTCGCAACTAGTTGTTTTTTAAATTATCTGTTTCATTGAGGAATGAACTTCCTTTTCCGATTCGTTTCTTTTGTCAACAAACGCAATTGAAAGTACTGGAGTAATGAGAATTCACCCATGAAGGTTAAACGCCCGTGCATTTCAGCTGTATAATTACCATCAAAATGACAAGAAACGCGGTCTACCAGGGATTATGGACTACGGCACTAAGATCCGAGACCAAATTCATTACGCCACGTTAGATGAAAGCACACGGTTACGTTCCAGATACACACTGATGCCTATCCATCCATAAGTAGCAAAAAAAATCAAGAAGAGGTGCCGCCCTACTGGGAACAATGCATTTTTGGATCTAAGTTCATGAAACAGTGACAATAAGTGGAATACATCGACATCTGCTCGGTCTATTATACCAGTCACAACTTTCGCCTACTTCTAAATCAAAATTAAAGGTTGCGGTTAAAGTAAAAATTACAGGCCGTTTTTGCTTCTCAAATTATATTCAACGTTTTTGGCTATACGTCGATGGAATCGTGAAGATAGTCACTTTACTCCTTTCAATGTTACGGAATTGCACGCGTCGATTAATTATCTTTATGAAGGGAAAATTACAGTAAAAGAGATTCGTGCCCGTTAAACAGTCACAATGGATAATGCGGTTTTACGCATCGGTACCACGTCATGCTCGATCCTATCATAGCGGCGTGACTATTACTCATTGTTTCTATTAAATTGTCAGATACCTCTCACTTTACAATTATTGTGGGAGCCATTGATTTTGTTTGATTTCTCGCTGGTTACCATTTACTTTTTAATGAATAGTCGTGCCACTAGCTGTTTCCGACATTCTCTTTATCATTTAATTAACGTTTTAACTCTATATCACTAATCACTACATATTTTGCTTATAATCCGCGTATTGAATATTTTTTTCAAACAAACAAAATTACTAAAATGATCACTCCAGATGAAATGTTGTAACATAACGGCGACGTAATGTAGATTGCGGTAGGGGCATAATATTTTAGAATATTTTTTGCATCAGTCGCAACGCATCAGAATATTTTAGCGATTGTTCGAGAACAAAAATAGAAAGCTGCACTAAGAGGTAAATCAAAGCAGTCTGTCTAGCGAGAAATTGTTTAAATAAATAAAGTTCCAGTGGCACCCGTGGTACCTTCTGCGGTTTGTATCATACCTATACAACAGAATAATAAAGCAGTAAACGAATGTTTTATTTTTTGGGCATTATACGGCATTATCATTTAGTTATAGCACTTATAGTATTAGCCAGCCAGTTATCATGATAATGTCTTTCAGGTTCAAAACTTATACTGAGAAGTATAAGTGGGCAGTTTCGCTCCGGTCAGCTAAGCGCCATTTTGGGTCCATCGGGAGCAGGAAAAAGTACACTTTTAAACATATTAGCTGGATACAAGTAAGTGACATTTTGTAACTAAATATTAATGCGCTTTTTTGTAAGTAGATTTCTGAGCATATGCTCTTTTTAACCGTTGAAATGAAAATTAGCGCTTGTATCGAGAATATTTGTACTTTTCCATAGTTACCAAAATGAAGAAATTGATGATGTGGCGGAAGACGATTAGGAATGAATTTAATTGACACTTTTTTTTCAAAGAAAAGGATTTTGACAACTCCAGAAAATTCATTATACCACTCTTTCAGCACACTAGGTTATGAAAGCGCTCGGGGACGTTGAAATGATAATCGTGTCCTATTTTATCTATAATTGGCAGCCCAGGATTAAGGGGGGGAGGGGGCTTTGGAGGCTACAGCCCCAGCCCCGCGCCTTAAGGGCCCAAGTCTAAGGATGTACTATTTATGATTTATGCAATTTTGTCTCTCCTTTTTTTAAAGCGGTTTTCTAGTATGTCATTGTATATTAATGTCTGTTTTGCTATTCTGAAAAATCTGTAGATATTCGTATCCGATAACTTAACCTTCACTTTAGTGTTGGTATATAAGTATGTATAGAATTAGGGTATGTATTAAATTCATTTTAAAAAGCATTCCCAAAATTAATGCGAATGCCAGCGAATGCTTAGACTGGACTGTAGAATCTTGTCCTTTTGATTACTTAATATTCAATAAATGTTATTATTATTATTATTATTATTAATATTTTAAAAGTAAGTTGGATTGGATTACGCATTGCATTTTGCACAGCATAAATTTTCGACAATAAAAATTAATATCATTAAATTTGGCGTTTGTTGAAATTATAACCTATATTTTGTATAGGAATAGGACCCCTCTAATAAGTTTAACCCCTGGCCTACAGAAACGTTAATCCGGCCCTGATAATTGGCATCATAAAAGACACAGAATAGAATTTGTGAACTGGGTGCAACATAATTCACCAAAAAGTTCGATTAATGTTTCTGTCATCATTGTGTGTTAATTTCTGAAATTTAAATGAGCCATTCATGAAAGGACCAAATAATTTGAATACAATACTTCAGCAGTTATTGAAATTGGGAGGTTTGAGATACAAAAGACAAGGATCATTCTTGCAAACCCATTGAATGAATTGAATGTATATAATTAACATTGCGAAGCTCGATAATGAGATTAACACATGTAGGGTTTCTACACTGCAGTTGTTGAAACCAATTTACCTTATTCGTCAGTTCTTTAATTGGATTTGTATAGCGGCATATTCGTTTTATTTCAGACCTGTTGGTAAGAAGTTCAAGTCATTTATTTAGACTCACAATTAATAATGCATATTTGATTTCATTATCCGTCCGTCCTCACTTGAGAACGAAAAATTGTACATTCTTGAAGCCTCCGAAAATCAATTTCGTACGCAAAAACAATTTTAGATTAAACACATGGGAGAACGATAGAAAAATGTAATTCCCTATATGATAGATATATAATAAGGTAGCGAATATTCTAAAAACTTAGAGAGACGTCGGGACGTCACCGGTCACCATCAAGGCGCCATCAAGTCTATGAAATGTGATATGTCGACTTCGCAGGTAATTCGGGATTTTTCGTTTGCTATATAAGAAAATCGAATTGTGTTTAATGGAAGTTCTCACATAGATGCCGAATTGATGAGAAGGTAGTGATTAATAAGTTCTATTTGTCTTTCCCCAATTTTTTATACTTCAGAATAAAAATCTGGAAAAGATACATAGAATTTATTAATTATCCATCCCAAATTAAGAGAATGGATCCAATACTGCATGATGAGTAATTATTTCGGGCTCGGTTGTGATAGATGATCCAAATAATAATTATATTTGTTCTAAATGAATCTATTTAAGAACCGTTATAAATTCATTAGTAATTGTAAATAAATTAATCACGTAATTATAAATTTACGTTACAATAGTTTTTAGTTATGACACAAAGTTTGTTTTAAAGGAAGCAATAGCCGGTACCAGCTCTTTTTTAAAATTAACCACGTAGGTATCACTTGCAGTTATTTATCTTCTCTACTAACAGACAAATTGCGGTCTGTTTATTAAGATTAACACACACAAAAATAGTTTGAAACTGTTGGTTTCAACAGGATGGTGCACCCATGCACGACGCCCTAACGTAACCACGCAGAATGGTTTAGCATTTGTGACACATTTATAACATAAGTGAGGATTTCACTATGTATCACTTCAGCTTCGACGTTAAAACTAACTACAATTCAGTTTGCTTATATAACAACAAAAAAGCTTCTAGAGAAGTGACTCTTCTTTTATCGCCTTGATGCCGCCTTGATACCGTTCTAGAAAATTCGCTAAAATTTATTGGTCAAACCAACTGACGATTAAACGTCAGAGCACAGAAACATTGTCGGGCTATCCAACAACACCACCCTTCTTCTTTACTGGCCACCATCGGTACCAATAAAATAAAGTTAATGGCTGCTACATACACTTTGAGAAAACGCACGACACGCCTAGCCAATTGAAATTGAAAGAAGACCCAATTCCATAAATGAACGGAATGGTGGCACAAGCATATTGTCTGGTATGGAGCGCAGTAACTACGACCCTCTGCAATTTTAAATTATGATTCAAGTACCTAGTAATAGAAATATTGTAACAACCCCAAATTCTCAAATTCCGCTTATCGGCAATAGGGGACGAATTAAATCTAGTTACAAGAATTTTTCCTGTCACATTATTATGACACATTTCTCTTGAAAACGTTTAAATAAGACTCGCAAAACAATGTTTTCTCTCAGAACTATTCCTTTTAATGATTTCTACAAATCTTAAAAAAATGCTAATTACAAGCCTTTTTACGCAATTCAATTGAATAGGTAATGTTTTTCAATGTTAATAGTATATTCTAAATATAGATAAGTGTGCGATTTTTTTAAATATTTTTTCCGAAATCGTCATGAAACCTTCATTTATTTCATATCGAGTCTGGTAAATCGGATTTTACCGTTTTTTACCAGATTGGAGATTTTGCAACGTATATAACAAGCGATTCAAAAAATCCACCGTCATAGTTGGCAATGGAAATTGAATTGTGAACATACCACGTAACTGACAATTCGCTTAATTAGACATTGGAATAATTTGAGATAAACTGAGAGATCCACCTGGTAAGTGTGTATTGAGGTACGTTCACGATAAACATCTTATCATAGGCTACTATGACGCTGACTTTTTTGAATCGCTCTTCATTAATGTGTCAAACTGCTAGCAGATCAAACAAATCAAGTCATCGACTTTTGCTTTTATTTGAATATGTACAACATTCTAATCATAAATTATTTTATGGGATTTTAATAGAAACTAGTAGTCAGGTAAACACCTGACTTGACTTTCCGACTACTTTTAATAGAGTAATTGCAATTGTCTTTGGTCATAGTATAACATTTAGAAAATGCCCTCTAGCGCCTTTATTTTGAACCCGATGCAAAAAGTGTAGAAGCCTTTTTTGTAGATCTCATCAAGACACACCTTTTTTGTAATTAACATTTTTCACTTTGATGATCTATAATGAAAATTGAAATTTTGTATTAAAAAAGGCGATTTCGGGAAAAATATAATACAAAACTCGTTAGTTAAATGGCACTACTTCATTCGGGGAAAAGCACTCGGTGCTAAATGGATCTCGTACTTCAATCTTTCCTCGCCAATAATGTGTCATTTTCCTGACCTTTATATGTAAATAACTATGACGTGAAGTATAAAGTACTACATGTATTACAATCACGAAATACATAATAATTAGGTATAATTTAACCTACTTCGCAGCTATAAGTATAATAATAAGTTAGCCGGTGCTGGTTTTTCAAAAGAATTATAGAACAAATTGTTTTTGCGGGACATCTATAAAAATGCATTTTTTTCTTACGCGTAAACCTTTCTACCTTCGCTACTTTTGCGAGATTCCCAATTCCCATGCTTAAGAAACTCGCCCCTAATAGAAGGGTGAACTGACATGTTCAGTCTATTGAATAATTCAAATAAAATATGCATGCTTGACAAGTTTTTACATTCCGACAGTTAATTAAATGTGATTTTTTTCTAATTTTTTTATTTATTTGATGCTCGGTTTGTCACCTGCACAATTAACGTAGGTGTAAGTATAATTCCTTGGTGATGAAGTATGACATTAATTAAATTATGTACTTTAGTACTATGATTGTAATGTATTTAGGTTACGCAAAGTCAATGAACTGTTCTGATAGTCCTTTAATCGTAAATTCGGCGCTGTATTGCAATAACACTATAATTGTTTTATGACGCCAGGATCGTAATACGTAATTAACATAGTCTAAAACTCACGTTTTAACATCTCTACATTTGTATAAACATACTTTTGAAAATGTTACGCGTTGGTTAATTTTTTTATGATTTTAGTAGGTATAAGTTTGAGTAGATTTCCATCAGAAACACAAAAACTATATGGAACGAACGCAGTTTTACTTTTCAATGGCATCATTTAAAAATGGAAAGTATATAATTCGTTTAACTGAAATAAAAATTTTTACGGCCCATCTCGTATGTTCTAGTTAAACCTACCTGATAGATATCGGGCAAGCAAAGAGGAGCATAAAATGAAAACAAGGTTTTCGCTTTAAGGCGCATTTTGCCTGACTTGATCAGTACTTCCCAATGGATCATGTAATGGACTAGTTACGTGTACAAAGGAAAATAAGTTATGGCATAAATATGGTTACAAATAAGTCGGCGCATGCGAACACGATGATATGCGATATGTTTGCCTTTACTATCTAGCATCTGCGGTTAAACTTTCCAAAAATATCTCCATAAATAAGAAAGATGGCATTGCGCAGTTTGCACATCTGATTTTTACAATATGCAATATGCTTGTCTTTACTAGATTGTTCTTGGTTGAGGTGTCAAAGTTACAAGCTACTTAATGCAAAAACAGCAAACGGGTGGACGGAGAAAGTAGCCATACTAGAGCCTTCCAACATACATA